AGTTTCGAACTGCTGACCTAGTGGTTCGCAGCCCAATTCGTAACCACTATTCTACCAGAGCTCCTTTTGTGGTTACTTGTCCAATGCTTATCTTACAGCCCCGCACTAGAGAACATGACAAATATATAAGATATTAAAAATCACCATAATGTATGCTGAGCAAATAATCTGAGAAGCCAGACTATATGAAGAAAATGTGGCATCAGGATTGAAGGAAGACTCATTAACAACCTGTGAAATGTAAATGATGGAGCCTTTCTTGGTAAAAACAAAGAGGACTTAAAATACTTAACTGCTGAAGATCAGAGACCACAGCCTTTGGTATGGTTTGCACCTCAATGTAAAGAAATAAAAACTGTTCACCACTGAACAATAAAACTATCCATACAAATGGAGAAAAGATTGAAGTTGTCAAAGATTTCATTTTGCTTCAGATAAGCCATCAACACTCATGGAAGCTGCTGTCAAGAAATCAAATGATGTATTGCATTAGGCAAATCTGCTACACAAGACCTCTATAAAGTGTTCAAAAGCGAAAGATGTCAGTTTGAGGACTAAGATGTGCCTTATCCAAGCCATGGTATTTTCCATAACCTCATATGCATGTGAAAATTGGACAGTGAATCAGGAAGACCATAAAAAGATTGATGCATTTGAGTTACAGTGTTGGAGGAGAACATTGAAAGTACCATGGACTGCCAAAAGAACAAGCCAATCTGTGTTGAAAATAAGTACAGCTAGAATGCTCCTTGGAAGCTAGGATAGCCAGACTTCTCTCATATTTCAGACATATTGTCAGGACGGACCAGTTACCTGGAGAAGGATATCACTTTTGGTAAAGTGAAGGTTTGGAGGAAAAGAGAAAGACACCCAACTAGATGGATTGGCACAGTAGCAGCAGCAATGGACTCAAATGTACCAACAATAGTGAGATTGGCACAGGACTGGGCAGTGTTTTGTTCTCTTGTGCATAGGGTCGCTATGAGTTGGTACTGACTTGATATGAGTCAGTTTGTTTTATAATACCAACTGGAATGATTGAAGAGACCTGGTGGTATAGTGGTTAAGTACTTGGCTGTTAATTCAAAGGTCAGTAGTTCGAACCAACCAGGGAAGAAAGATGGTAGCAGTCCTTTTCCGTAAGGATTATAGCCTGGAAAACTGGAAAACCGTATGAGGCATTTCTACTTTGTCCTCTAGGGTCACTAGGAATCTGAATCAACTCACTGGCAATGTGATTCAGGATTTTTGGTTTCGGGGATGATTACTTGGTCTTTCTATTCGTTTGAGGTAACTATGCTAGCAGAGGGCAGGTCCCAATTTTTGTTGTTGTAGTTGTCCACACAGCAACACACAGTGTCTGTACTAGCTTAAACTAGAAGTTGACCTAGCATATTTTGTGCGGAGAGAAACATTGTAAAGCAATATACTAAATTGTGGCTACTGAAGCTGCTGGCTTGGTGCACTTTTATGTGCATACCCTTACAAAGGGTGTATGGCCTTGTTTTTTTAAAAATTGTTGCTTTTCTAGTATTGTAAATGTATATAACAACATTTAACTGACTTTTTTTCTGTCTTTTTTTTTGTGTGTGAATTGAGTGAAAGTTTACAGGCCAGATCATCAGTTTTACATTCAACAAATCATATACGTTGTTTCATTTGTTGTTGTTAGGTGCCCTCCAGTCGGTACCAACTCAATAGTGACCTTTATGCACAGCAGAATGAAACACTGCCTGATCCTGGACCAAACTCACTACTATTGCCACGCTTGAGTCCATGGATGCTGCCACTTGGCCAATCCAGCTCGTTGGCGGTCTCCCTCTTTTTCTCTGACCCTCCACCTTACCAAACGTTACATCCTTCTTCAGCAACTCGTCCCTCCTGACAATATGTCCAAAGTATGAGAGACAAAGTGTGGCCACTTTGGCCTCCAGGGAGCACCCTGGCTGCATTTCTTTCAAAACGGATCTATTTGTTCTTTTGGCAGCCCATGGCACTTTTCATTAAAATGAAATTTATTTCATTACAATGATTATAATCCCCTCCATGTACTGCCAGTTAACAGTATTTCTCTCTATTAATTTTAGCTCTTTTTTTTTTGTTTTAAACACTCAGGCATATATAATTGAAACCACCAAAGGGCACATTCTACAAGCCTACCCCCCTCCCTTACCATGAATTCTCAGCTGCTCCCTCTCTCCATGTCCCCATCTCTGCCTCCATTTCTGGTATCACTGCTCCTCTGGATAGGGTCCTACATTCTGCTTGTGCTCTTCTCCCTTGATAGTCTTGGGTCCTCTGTTTCTGGACTATAAGATTAACTACTCCCCCATTTTTGTTATAAAACTTCTACCTTTACAATTGTGACAGTCAAAATTCGTCATGATGACAGTTACTCATTATTGAATCATGAGAATCTTATGCCTATCTCTTTTCACCAAACCCATCTAGACAATATGAAAACTATTCAGTAATGGCTCTTATCTTCCCCTGTACACTCTTTTTTTTTTTTTTCTTTAATGTTTTATTGTGAATTATGTGATAGTTTCATGGGAGAACATTAGGTTTACATTCATTCTATCATATATATCGTCTCATTGCCATGGTTACAATCCC